GTGTGTGTGTGTGTGTGTGTGTTCACATGCTTCAAATAACAGAACTAAATGTATCCAGTCTGTATAATTTGTATTTCAGAAATACAGAACAATAATAAATTGATAATACTGCTCTGCATTTAATTTTTACCTAAAAGGAACTGGAATACATTTTACTTCCTCTATCACTATTAATGATTGACCAAATAAATGTGGGAGGGCTCCATTACTTAATTATTTATCACATCATGGGATTGAATTTTGTGTAAATATTCTGATTTTATTTGTTTATTTGACCTGTGTGTTTTTAATAAGGGACAGGTGCACATGTTTTTATTTATTATAGTTTTTTCAATCACACACAGGGTCAGAATTATTCATTCAGACTGAAATACAAACACAGACCTTCACTAATTTAAACGGTCACTGAGTTAGTGCACTTTAATGGTTCATAATTTAATAAAATCATATTATTAAAAACGTTTGTGTTTGGTGTAAACATCTACCCCAAACTGCCCACATTCTCTTTCAGTTTGATTAATCTCATATCATGTGCACTCAAATGTCYCTTTAACTACATAAAATCAAACGCTTTTGTCTCTCCTATTCACTTTACTTTTTATTTCTGATCAGGCTCAGCTCAGGAAGCCTCGCAGTTTTAAAACAGTTAGTTAAAATAAACCAGAACCATTGCGTGGGAGGAAAGACTGTAACTGGACTCCTTGAGTTTCTCTGGGAAGTTACGTGGGTTGCCAGCAGGGGAGGGATCAGAAGACCCTGATGTTTCGCTTTTTCCCAAACTGTGCTGCTTCTAGGGAAAGATRTTCTTGACCCAGAATGCACCTACCTCATTCACATCCCAGAGTATTTTTTTAATGTTTTGTTTTGCAAATGAGCAATTTGACTGACGCAGATGTTTAACAGGTTAACACTTGAATGGCCAACAAAAACAGTAAATGTATTTATTTATTTATTTATTTATTTGGCCTTTTTTCATATTAAAAAGAGCATTTTGTTTAGATATCCAAATGCTTGGAACCAGAACACCTCTCTAGTTATATTTTGCCCCCAAAACTGGACATGTTTTTCATAAATACTTTTTTTCTGTTTCATGTAAACAGTAAATCCAAGTGAAGCCCCAGCAGTAAAACTTCCCATGTAAACGATCTAATCCTCCCAGAGAGCTCTTGATGGGAGCCGTATGTGTCAGAGATCAGATTTCTCTCCTCTCAGTCACTGCACGTTACACACATGACTCGTAAAACGATGGCYACTGAAAGACTTATTGGGAACTATTCTGGGAATGCAGAAGTTCCTGCTGGAAAACATTCTTTTCTCCACCCACTGCAACAGCTCTGACACCTACCCAGTTGTGCTTCACAATTTATAATCAGTTAATCTTAGAGGATTTAGCTAAACATTAACTTCACTATCTTAAGAAAACGACTGACTCCTGTAAGTCSGTTCCTTTGTAGCAACTTTCATACTAAACTTGAATTTCCTAGAAATCTGAAGCTCAATAATCATGTAGATAAAAGTGTCCACTGACCAAATAAATCTATATTCATACTGCAAACAACTTATGGTGCTGAGTCAATAGAAACCTCTCCTTCTTCTGCATATCTGTGGTTGGGTTGCAGAGATAACGCGTCCAGAAGGGAAATCCAGACATCCCATCCCCCAGGATCTTAAAGGATATATGAATAATCCGTTCAGAGAATTCTGGGTCTGACCCAGGGTCTCCTCACAGTGAAACATGCCCCAAAAACCTCCAAAAGAAATTGTTCTGATCGATGTCTGAACCACCTCAATAGATTCCTTTCGATGCAGAGGAGCTCCAAACTTTCACGGGGTGATGGAGCTCCTATCCTTATTTTTAAGGCTGAGCCCAGTCAACCTATGATGGAAGCTCATTTTGGTTGCTTTAATCACAGATCTCATTCTTTCAGTCTGGATCTATACCTCAYGGCTATAGGTGAGGGCTGAAATGTAGACAGACCAGTAAATYGAGAGGTTTACCTTTCGACTACGATCGACTAATGCGACGCCCTCATTTGAGATGACGACATGTCAGTCCATCTCCTGCTCCATTCATCACTCATGAACTAGAAGCCTAAATACTTGACCTTCTCCACCTGAAGCAGAAACTCTCCTCTGACTCGACGGGGAGCATTCCACCCATTTCCGGTTGAGAACCGACTTAGAGGAGCTGGCTTGGGTCGACTCCAAAAGGTAATTAGTTGCAGCGATTTTATATTGTTAATTATACAGAATAAAATGACACTCATACACTATAAAAAATGAAATGTTGGATTTACTTAACCATGTTATGTTATGTTACCTGGTTCCACTTAACTGAGTTGAGTAAATTCAAAGCAATATAACAGTTTTTTTTAGCCAAAGAACATGAGTATGTTGCTTTGAATTTACTCAACTCAGTTAAGTGGAACCAGGTAACATAACATGGTTAAGTAAATCCAACATTTCCTTTTTTAGAGTGTAGCAGCAAATTGGCAGGAAAGGAACAATACCTAACCAACAGAAAGTCTTGATAGCWACACATTCCTCAGTACTGAGTGGATCAGTGTACACTCGGTGCTCTGTCATAGAAAAACAGTGCAGTGGCTCAGGTTCAACAAATCTGTGATGAGTACACAYAAAAACGTCCCAGGCCAAAGCTCTGTTTGGATCATGATGATAGCAATGGCACAGGCTGACAAGCTTTGATAAGATGAAAGACATCACATCAGAGGTATGCGCACACAGAAACACACATTTTAAAAYGCTTACATAATCCAAGGTCTGAGTCATTCATCTGAATAGTGTTGCACAGTTTGTGCATCAAAATTAAATGGAAAAAGTCATAAAAATGCAGCATATTTGTTGACAGAAAAAGACTTCCTGTAAAAATGTGGTCTATAAAAGTGATAATGAATTTACTGATGGAACACAAGAGGTGTTTATGATGCTTAAAGAGGGAACAAGGACTTGTTCCTCCAGCAGGCTGACAGATAGTGGCAGTGATGTGTTCACTATCATTTGGCCTARCAGAATAATGCTACAACTTCTGAACTGAATTTCAAGTAATGAAGAGGGGAAATATGAGAAAACACATTAGTTTCAACTTGATGTGGATCTGTGTAACTGTCTTTAAAACAGGGCATCAGAGTTGTTGAAGGATGTGACCTTCAAATTTTGAAGATACGGTTTGAACTTAATAAACAAACAAAAAAAAGATAATGAATAAATCTAACTGTTGAAGAAAATCCAACATGTTTAAAAAGTTTAGCTCAGCAGCACAGATGACAGTTTTATAGAGTTTGATATGAGATAATGTCTAAATGCTAACTGGAAACTCAAATGTTGCAGTTTCAATAAAAACCCAGTTCAGCTTCTGCTTCTGAGGAAGATCAGGAGCAGCTGCTGGCAGATGTTCATGATGGTGAGGAGGAGCGGTTTCTTTTCCTAGAAAGAAGGAAAGTGAGTCACTCTCAGTTCTATAAATCACTTTGAGTTTCAACCTTTTACTGTAGAGCAGTGGTGCCCAATCCTGGTCCTCGAGGGCCACTACCCTGCATTAAGGACCAGGACTGGACACTACTGCTGAAGATTTTGATTAAAACCAGATATCCCAGAATGCATTATGTTCCTTCGAGTGCAGAAAATTTAGCAGACTGAACCAGTAAAGATAAATATTTATATTGTTTGTCACTACGTTTAAAGAGATAGWTCAATGTGATGCTGTGGAAATGTTAAGAACAATTAATATCTTATTCATAGCAGATATCTTTTTGTGATCATTTTCTTTACCTGCTTTGAATGAAGGAAATTTTTGAGATTGAAGTTAACAACAACCAGCTATTAGCTCATCAGCTCCTTTAAAATTACTCTTTTTTAAATTGATGACAGTCAATGAGTTATCTACAAGTGATGAGATAAAATTGTTTATCATCAGCTGAACTATCATTTAAAAAWTTTTCCTTTTGCATTTACTGGCAAAACCTTGTTGAGTCCAAATCTTGGACTAAACATCCAGAAAGATGCAAATAATACATAAGCTTAAATAAATAATAGATTATAAAGGACACTACGGTGGCCCATAAGGGTCGACAAAATGCAAAAGCCAAAAACATAGTTTAGTTGGTGCCATATGTTCTGTTTATGTGAGACCTCCTCCTAGTGGTGAAACTGGGTCATTACATCAGGCCAGCTGGTCTGAATACACAAGTTGAAAGTAACAAAAAATGTATCTTAAAGTACTTGTAAAATTCCAAAACTACGTACTACTTTCTCAATTTAAATCACACCACGACTCGCACAATGTCAACAATTTATTGTTTCGTTCAAGCGACAGTGGTACAACACAAACAAAGATGGATGGAGATAATTCAGTGGAGAAAACATTGATGCTTTGGTTCCTCTACTGTAATGAGAAGTATACAGTACTGAACTTGCAAGCTGTGCATACGTGCACTGACGTTATAAKCTATAAATACTCTTCACAGTATATCCAACACCATGCAGCCTCGAGGCAGTCACAAGCAGAGAGGAGCCACTGTCCCTCTGGTCCTTTGTCTTAGAAAGAGAAAACGTTTAAAAAAAAAATGCAGAAGAAGAATGAAACGGTTTAAAAATCCTAATATCACCACACGACAACTGAAGGAGAAACAATAAAAGCTACAGTGCTCATCGACGAATCACAACTGAACTATTCTTCAAGTTTACAATCAACGGTTGACGGTGGTCCGTACTGGAAGAGGAACGAGAAGCAGCAGCTGGGTTCTTCATGTTCTTTCTATGTGCAGTGTGAAGACATCTCCATTAAGCCTCAGTCAAACGGCCGCGGAGGAGTCTGGGAACGCCCCGAGCCCACAACAGGCTGGGGGTCCAACTCAACCAGAGCTCCTCAGTCCTAAACACTCAAACACGCTCCTCACAGAGGCTCCAGGGGGGCCGAAGGTTGGTAAAAGCACACAGCTAATCTCAGTGTTAGCTTCGATTGTGCTTTTAAAGTAAAACAAACAGATAAAAACTGTTGTGAAATTAATTAATTTTTTATTTAAACCTCATCGCCAAGGAGAAGCTGATTCTTCCTATCAAAGACCTTGAAGAAGTGATCTCTCTGTTTGTTGGTTTAGAAAGAAAAAAAAAACATCTTTACAAACTGTCCAAAACTCAGCCGCTCATCTTTTAACACTGTTGTATAGATGAGTGAGATAGTTGTAACTGCTCACAAAATGATACCCTTTCAATAATTTTATGTTGTATTAAATGTCTAACTATAATAAAATATTTGCACAACTCCGTTTGGTGTTAACATTTTTTGAAATTACTAATAAATYATGAATTTTAGGCTTAATTATTAATGCTAAGTATGCAAATCTCAATAAAGGATATATGAGATGTATACTAGGATTTCAGTAAAACGTTCTAAAAATAAATTATGCAGTACCCAACAAAAACTAAATAAATAAACAGATAAATAAATAAATAAATAACCTTGACTACATTATTCTGAGCACACTGTTAAATACTGTTGAGATAATTTTATCTTTAAAATGTTAACTGACATAACAACACATACATATCTTTGTTATCAGCCACTGACTTTAACTCAGTTTTAAAGATATTGAGGTTAATTTTGGTGTGATAATAACAGAACGTCCTCCCTCACTCTGAGCGCTAACACATTGCATGATATCAGGATGACATGACGGCACATCTTCTTTTAAATAATCTGGATTCTCTTGCTTCTTTCCTGTCTGACGCCACTGCTGCAGACYGGGTTTGACTTCGCCAAACTGGGTCAAATAAACAGAGTCGAGTGAATTAAACTGGTTTTCTCTGTTTCAGAACCTCTGAGGTCAGTCTGGATCAGGATCCGTCCCGTAGTGTTGACTCTGTTCCTACAGCGTTTGACTGAGGGTGAATGGAGTTGACTGAGGCTTGCYTCAATAATCACGTGGTGTTTTATTTGGCCGACTATCCCTTTTGCGTCTCCGACTCTTCTAAACCACAGTTTAGGACTCCTCGTCGGTGCCGCTGGGTGAGCGCTCCTGGAAAACAGAAAAACAATGGTCAATATTTAAAAACTCAGTACGGCAGGTTTCTGTAAAAAAAAAAGAAAAAAAACTTTTAAAGGTGACTTTTAGTAGCAGTGACATAATGACTTTAARAGTTTTTTGTTCAAGTCTACAATATTTTTTTAATCCCTTTGTTTTTGTGATATTTTTGCATCTTTTATCTAAAAAGTAAATGAATCAAAGTCTCTTCAAAAGTGTAATTATTTTATACTGATTGATTAATAATTCATGACTAAATGCAATGAGCTCATGGACGACCATCAGCTGAAACATTAACAATTGAAAGAAAAAGAAAAGAAAGAAACAAATAAATCTTAAGGATTACCTACATTTCTGATTCTCTACAGGTCTGCTACAGCCTTAGGCAACAATCATGAGTTCCCTGCTTACAGGAAGATAAAAACTACACCTGAAGGTACCCGTTMGCACACACTGACGTACCTCTTCCTGCTCGTCCTCAGAGTCGTCATCRCTGACGACAGGTTTGGCCCTGGTCCGTCCTGAACGTCTGCTGCGACCTTTCCCTCGATCGCCACCTTTGTCCTTCCTGCCCAGGCGGATTTTCACCTTCACAGAGCGTGCTGTGAACACGCACACATGCACAAAGGTTCACAGCGCACAGAAAATAGGAGAATGAAGAACAGAAACTAAATCTCACCAATCGAACAATCAATAGGTTAAAGCTTAATATATGTGATCCATCACATCGAAACAAGGATTAAGTCTGAAAGTGGGACGTGGAGAAACAGGCAGATGTAGTGTTTTGATTAAAACGGTTGCAAAAATTGCATTTTGTCAAAATATAATGAATAAATGCCTTATCAATGTATCCTTTGAATGAACTGTCTGAAATATAATCCTAAAAATAYTTTCTGAAGCACATTTTTGAGCATTAGCAACAAAAACAAACAAAAACTAGAAGCACTCAGAGAGTGCAAACCTCCGCCAAAAGCAGAGATGGAAACACATTTTGCCGAATAAGTTCTGACGTAGCGAACATTTAAGTAGGCAGTATGCTTGCCAACAAGACAAATGAAGTCATATCTCTGAATCCAAATCATTTCAAATTGCAGCTTTTTAATTCAGGAATCTGAAAACGTGATCAGGTCATTTGACTCCTTGTTTCGATATGATGGGTCACATGTATCAATGGACAACACAAAGAAGTTTACATTCAGACTCCGAGCCGTCCTCCTGCTCCTCCTCCTCTTCCTCACTCTCCTCTCCATCACTTTCCTCCTCCTTCTCAATCTTCTGCTTCAGGCTGGTGAACACAGACTGGAGAACGATGGAGTCCTCATATATCTGCTCAGACGAAACAAACACACCGAACATCCTCAGACATCCAACGTTGGCTGCAGGAGGAACGTCAGCATCAAAGAACACATTTATGGGAAACAGAGGTTTGAGCTGATGATCAGACAGTCTGGAAATGTCTTTACAGCAGGCGGTTTAAGTGATCAGAAGCCGCGTCTCACCAGGGAGCCCTCCAGGTTGAAGGTCTGAGCGTTTTGGAAGAGAAGCATGACGTCTCTTTCCAGGTCACCCAGACTGCGGTAACGATGACTTCGAATCCTCTCCTGCAGGAGAAAGACACAACTTAATCAAGTAAGCAATGTATGTGGTTATATATTTTACAAAAACATCTAAATAAGCCCCCTAAAAACAAGCCCCAGATGAATAATTTTACCTTGATCTTCCTAAAGTCCACTGGTTTTCGGATTAGTTCGTAATATTCTGGCAGTTCTTTCCGAGACGGCAGCTGGATGAACACCTCGCTCAGCTGACGCCCGCTGGTGCTGCGGGAGATCACACCGTCAGGGGAAAACGTTTATCCAAACTTCTTTTATTTTGTTAATGAGTGAGAAAAACAAAACTGTACCTTAACTAATACATATCCTAATCTGCTAAAGAAGTACTAATGTCTTTTTATTTATATATTTGCCCATTTGTTTGGTACATAATACCTTTCAGAATGAGTAAGAGTTCTACAATAAAGTTTTTCTGAACCATCAGGTTGTGCTCATCCTGTGATGCAGATCAGTAATTATGTAACTGTTTCTAATATAAAACATAATACTGTATTTCTGGGTAAAAACGCACCGTATCTGTGTCAGGATCTAGTGTTTCCAGTCATTTTTCTCACCTATCTTTGTATTTAATGACAGCATCCACAATTTTCTTCATCTTCTTTGTGAGGGAGGGGGGATTGGGAGACAGTTTCTCGGCAGGTGGACGTCCCCTCTTCCTCTGGCGCTTCCCATCATCATCTCTGTCCCCCCGTCCTCGGCTACCGGAGGAACAAGAGGGTCCGGGGAGGTCCAGGTCACGGTCCCTCCTTCTCTTGCGGGTGGTCTTTTTGTGGCGCACTTCTTCCTCCACCTCCTCGAGCGTGCCTTCCTCAATCGCCTGCAGACACAAAGTGCCGCGTCAGATTCCGGGTGTTTCACGTTCCGGACTGGATTGGATCTTTTCTCTCTCTCAAAAAAAAAAAAAATCACCTTGAGCCACTGCTTCTCCGTCAGGGAATCGCTGTAGTCCACCTCCTTTCGCTGCCGGGAGCCTCGCCCGAACATCTTCTCCTCCTCCTCCTCGCAGGTCAGCCGCTCCACTTCAGCGTCGTCCTTCATGATCCACGTGGGAAGCTCGTCCTCCTCCATCAGACGAGGTTTGCGGCGGGGATTGCGGGCCTCTTCTCGACGGCGGTCCAGATCCATGCGCTGAGGGAAAGGCCAACAGCACAAGAAGCCAAGATGCAGGAGGAATGAAATGGTTTAAAATACGAACGACAGATATTTACCATGAACTGCTCAAACTCTTCTTCACTCCTGGCAATCATTTGGTTGACCGTCTCATCGTCTGGCACCTCGTCTTCCTCCTGAATACAGCAGACACACATTGGCAGGCATAGTATATGAGGCCAGGCTCTTAAAGCTGCGTGTTGCAGGTGCACGCACACACATTCATGACTTCCTGTCCCCAGACCTCGTCTTGCTCCTCGTGCTCCAAGATGGCCTGCAGGAAGGCCCTGCGCTCGTGGCTGGAAGACTTCTGGTCAAACATGCCGGCCTGGATGACTTTCTGGTCWACATTCAGTTTGTATTTGGCTGCGGCCAAGATTTTCTCCTCTACACTGTTTACTGTGCAGAGACGCAGCACTCGCACCTCGTTCTGCTGGCCTATCCGGTGGGCTCGGTCCTGAGCCTGCAGGTCCTACAGAAGACACGAGGGTCATTAAAGACAGAGAGGACAGGTTCAGATGCCACGGCTTCGACTGTGTCCAAATTCAGGGGCTACGACCTTCGAAGGCCGAGTTCGTCGGCCGCTTACGGCGCAGCGCTGCGCCGGAGGCTGTCCAAATTTGAAGGCTCCTCCGATGTGACCGACAGATGCGTCCTCCCTTTTCCCTGATTTGAGGGATGGGTCTGATGGATCCTCCCTGACCCACCATATCCCATAATGCATTGTTATAGTAATTAAGTACATTTACTTCATTACTGTACTTATGGTAAGTAGTTTTTTTGAGGATTTGTAATAAAAAAATTTAAATAGCTAATTATTACGGGTACAACGATACAGAAAATTCACAATTCGGTTCGATACTTTAGTCTCACAGTTCGATAGTTTTTTGATGCAAAAAAGAGAAATTTCCATGCCCCTTTTAACTTGTAATTTATTTAAATTAATTATGAACATTTGTTTAACCTCAAAAGTACAGTTTTTAACTTAAATGTTGCTGAAACAGCAAGTTTCTCAGTGGATCTGCGCTCAAAAATGCAGCCTAGGTGGAGTAGTCGAACACAGATCCACTGATCCTTCAACACAGAGCATCKTCAGAAGACAAGTTGATAAAATAAATTTTAAAAATCTGTATTGTTCGATACAAGTGTGTATTGAACCTAAAGCACTGTTTGATACGGTTCGATACGGGTACATGTATTGTTGCACCCCTACTAATTTTACTTTTATTTTGTTACACTTTCAAGCTAAAAATGATAGTTTTATCTCTTTACTTTAAAATAATACACCTAGTTACTCGTTACAAAATTAAATGTGTCCGAACTCATCAAGAAAGCAAATTCAACAGTTTATTTCTTAGAGAGCGTGTAAAAGTACTTTTACTTTTACTTTTCCAATTTTTGTGAACCGTTTTCTAACATTTACTTGAGTAGTTTTCTCAACAGTGAAATTTATTTTTACCAAAGTCATTTTTTGTTCATGTAATTTTACTTTTACTTAATTATCTTTTTCAAGTACTTTATAGGCCTCTGCTCATAATGCATTGCAGGCTGACCAGAGATTTTTTTTCTGCTCGTAATGGCGGACGAAGTGAGAGAAAGGAGTACAGTTTTAAATAAAAATCTATTGGCATAAAATTAAACATTTCAAGTGATTGTGTTATTAATACTGTTGTCAGTTGTTTTTAATATTATTCTTGTCAGAAATCAAAGGAGCTGGTAGAGCGAAATAAACGTGAAAGTACGGTTAGTTCTTTAAATGTTGCCTTTAAGCTAATTTTGTTCATTTATAATATTATTAATATTGCTATTTTGCTAATTTTGATCTATTTTGGCTTCTGTTTAGCATCGTCATGGCTGCTAGGCTGCAGGACATATGTTGGGGTAAGGACWGGAATAAAGCAGAAGCCTAAACCATTCAAATTCACAGCCACTTGTTTCTGGTCTTCATGGTCGACCAAGGACCCGGCTCACCTAAACCGGGTAGTCTGGGTCTATGGAAGGATCCAGCCCCTGAATTTGGACACAACCTTTAGCTCTGCAGAGGCACCAAATCTGTCATGGGCTGACAGAAAACAGAGAATAACTCAAATATTTTTGATTTTACTGTTATATTTGACTCACTCACAAATAGGAGGCCTAGTTTTCTCTTATTCTTTAACTTTTTTGTTGCATTTTTTTTGCATAAAGTGCTAAAAAAAGCAGCTTAAATTTGATATTGACCTGATTTACAGTACAACCACCTTTTATACACTGAAATAAGTGAGTTTCCAACCTGATGCGGGTTCCAGTCCGAGTCAAAAATAATCACAGTGTCGGCAGACTGCAGGTTGAGTCCGAGACCTCCTGCTCTTGTGCTCAGAAGAAAAATAAAGTATTCTGACTCAGGATCATTGAACGTCTTCAGTAGCATCCCTCTGTCTTCAGCCTTCGTGGTGCCTGGCATGCAGAGGAGATGAGGACAAGGAGGACAGACAGGTGAAGGAAATCACTTGTCACAAGGTGCAGGCAGGCCCAAACTAAACGACAGGATCTGTTACACAGTGTCTGAGCTTACATGTACACTGTGTTTCCAACAAAATATGATGTTTTTCCCCAATAAACCACTTTTATGTGGGAGGTTGTTACTAATCTTTCAAATTACATTCTCGTTTTAGCTTTAAATGTTATCTGACTGAACTTGTGTGGTAATAAATGCACTAAATATAAATTAGCATCAATCTGGGGCTTTGAGAATAGCAAAACATGAAAAAAATGAATGCATAAAAAACTCTTACCATCCAGACGCAGGTACTTGAAGCTGCGGTAAGCGAAGTAGTCCTCCATGATGGTCATGAGCGTGGTCATCTGACAGAAAAGCAGCACTTTGTGGTTTGTGGCTCTCAGCTTTGGCAGGATTCGATCCAACACTTCAAACTTTCCCGATGCTCGATACAGGTCAGGACTGACAGACGGATGGGCGTGATTACCGAGGAGAAAGTTTATTTGTGTGTGAAACTAAGAAAAGGCCTTACCCCTGGACGATTCCGCCGGAGAATCCTAAATGTTCAGAGAAGGACTCCTGCAAAAACAAAGCATTTATCAGCTTCAGTTCTCACCGCGTGTTCAATCATCTCCATCTGTCACTGACCTCAATCTGCTGAAACATGTAAGGATGGTTGCAGATCTTCCTCAGCTGCATGATGGTGTTCATCAGTGTTTTTGTGCCTCCTTTGCCCTGGATGGACGTTACATAATTTATCATTCACACAAAAAGTACAGCGTAACAGAGCACATCCCTTTTGTTTAATATTTATTTAGAACTGGGTTAGCATCAAAGCATCAGCTCTCACTGAAAGCTTTTAAATGAGATCAGATCAGTTTTCTATAATACTTCCAAAATACAAGTTAGAGTCAGCTTTCTGTTATTACAGTGTAATTACATATCTACAACCTAAACCTTCAACATTAATAAACCTCTGCCTCCACCTTCTTGTCTTTCTCTGATCCATCCGTGAGCAGGACCCCCTTGGCCTGCATGTGTCTGTACAGGACCCTCTGAAGAGCCGACATGTCACACTTGATGACATATTCCACCTGATCAAAAGAAAAGAAAAACGGCGTATTTATCAGATAAATATACACCTTCTAGTATGTATTCCTGTTTCAACAGGGTTTGACAGCAGACTGTAGACGTGCCTTTGCTTCAGAGGTGTCAAAAGCATTCACATACATTACTTAAGTAGAAGTATAGATACTAGGGTTTAAAAATACTTTTTTGGAAGTAGAAGTATCAACTCAAGCTTTTTATTCAGGTATAAAAGTACTGGTTTTAAAACTACTTAAAAGTATAAAAGTAAAAGTAATGAAATACTTTTTGCTTTTTTAAAAAGGAGTAGAAAGTACAGATAACTGAATTAAAATGTAAGGAGTAGAAATAAAAAATAGGCTGAAAAATAATTAAGCCACTAAAGTAGAAATAACCCAAATTTCTACTTAAGTAAAGTAACAAAGTATTTGTACTTAGTTACTTGACACCTCTGATTTGCTTTTTTGCTTTAGTAAGCCTTGCCTTCTCTGGAAGCTGTGCCTCCACTTCCTTCTTTAACCTCCGTAACAGGAAGGGGCGTAGCACTTTGTGTAGGCGGCGAATAATCAAGATGGTCTCTTCTTCATTCAGGTCCACCTTCAGAGACAGAAAAAAATATATATATTTTCTAACCTGCTAAACAGCATTTATGCAGGGATATTTCAATATTATTGCAGCCTCTGCTCACCTTTTCTCCAGTCATGGCAAACGGAGCATTAAACCACTGTTCGAAGGTGCTGCAGCTCTTGAAAATGGTGGGCAAAAGGAAGTTGAGAAGTGCCCACAGCTCAGGTAGTTTGTTTTGTAGCGGAGTCCCGGTCAGCAGGACTCGCCTCGGAGCAAGGTAGTGGGTGTTCAGGACCTGGGTCAGCTTACAGTGGTGGTTCTTCATGCGGTGGCCTTCATCCACAATCATATACTTCCAGCGGATCTTGGAGAAGGAGACAGGAAGAACCTTCAGAACACTGGTGTCACCATTATGCTTCAGTCCTCGCGTGCAACCAAACCAACCGAAAACAGAAAATTGATTTAAAGAACGATTTCTTGTCCACTCTGTCCTCATGACTTGAGCTGGCCTAAGTCCCGAGGCAGAACTCTCCTCTGACCCACCTGTCAGCACATTCAGGGACCCTACAAAACAACATGAGTGCGTAGCAGCATGATGGTCACAGACGGACAGTGGGAGACCGGGTTTACAGGCCGAGTCAATGTGTTGCAGGACCTAGGAGAGAGCACTGACGCAGCAGAGTGGGAGGGTCAGATTGGCCCAATTCAGACGCTTGCAGACTTTGGGAGATAGGTAAAATGTGGAGATGCAGAGCAAGAGAGAGGTTTGTTTGCACACGTCCATGTATCAGCCTTCTTACCTTGGCTAACACTTGCTTGTCTTTGATAATGTACTCATAAGTGGTGAGTAAAACATTGAACTTGCCACTGCGAAGTTGGGGGACAAAGGCTCTTCTGGCAGCAGGGGACCCCTAGAGCACACAGAACAATGACTCAAAACGTGTTTCGGAGCAATAATTCTGCAAAGCAGACACTCACCTTGTAGGACACTTTCACAACCGACGGTGCCCACTTGTCGAACTCATACACCCAGTTAGATAAAGTTCTATCAAAGAGAGTCACATTTGTATTAAAACGTATTCATTTGTCTTTATTTTATTTAAATACCCCCCTTGTGTTTCTAAAGGCTGACTCACGATAGTGGTACTATGATGAGGTAGGGTCCGTTGAGGCGTTTGTGCTCCATGAGGTACGTAATGAGAGCGATAGTCTGGATGGTTTTTCCCAGACCCATCTCATCAGCCAGGATCCCATTTAGATTGTTATTGTAAAGAGAAACCAGCCACTCCAGACCTTTAATCTGAACACATGCATGTGAGTTTATCTGAAAGGAATGAGATATTTATCCCTGCATAGAATTAGAGAGGTTTGTTTACCTGGTACTGTTTAAGCTGCCCATTTATCAGTAAAGTGGACTGTTTATCCACCTTCTCTGTGACGGCGTGAGCCACAGCATAATAGGACTGTAGTCCTCGAGCGAACGCTGCACCCATGTACTCGTCATCCACATCCTGTTTAGCATGCCTGCATATGACACATGATACTTTAAAAAAGGACTTATGATCATCCGGGTTTATTCCGATATCGCAGTTTGTGTATGAACTTACTCTATGATGTGTCGGACATCCACCTCCGACACGTCCTCACTATCCGGGTCTGTAATCTTCTTCTTCTCATCGACCGGAGTTGCTGAGGGCTGAGGCTCCTCTTCCTCCTCCTGCCAAACCACTTTGTCAGTTATAAAGAAACTTACGTCTCGCTGGAAGAAAAGATGATGAAAGTGACTTTTGTGAACCAAGGAACCCACCTCCTCCTCTTCCTCCTCTTCGCTGTCTTCACTGTCTGAGCGTGGAGCTACCTCGTAACTACGTGAACAAATAAAAATATATGAGGTACACTGAAAAAACAACTTAAATGTTTTTTTTTCCCCTTACATAAAAAGCTAATGTCTTAATATTTGTTTCAGCTTGCTTCAATGTTAGCTTTATTACAACAGGAAAAAAATTGATGGGCAAAGCAAAGTAAATGGTCTTCAAACCTAAAATTAAAAATGCTAGTCTCAGATTTAGATTCACACTGCAGGTCTTAATGCTTAACTCAGTTTTTTGCTCAGATCCAATGTTTYGCGTGGTTGTTTGTGTTAATATTTAAATGCAATCTCCATCTGACTGAAGTGACTAAAGAAAAAAATGGATGCTACAGGCGTTAGCGTGTGTGGATCGATTCCGAAGTTCAATCAGAGAYGATKAAATTATTATCTGCTGTGCTCGTTTTGTCCAGTGTTTACATTTGATTTTGCCGCTTATGGTCTACTCAGATGCACTTCTGGAAATGGAGCAACTGAAACTAGAAACAAACTCGAGTATCGAGCCCATCATGCAAGGACTGATACGATCCAATAATGCTGATTTACCTCCGTTAGCATCGTACAGTATGCTGGTGTAAATTCTCAGCCATGCAAGACATGACAAATCTAAAAACRTTTAAAACTTCTGTTCTGTGTGAAGTGTGTGAAAATATGAAACGTTTCCACTCCTGGACTCAAAGTCTTGATGCATTAATTCTCACCCAGGGTTCATCTCTAGCCAGGTCTCCAGCTGTCCGGCTTTGGGAGCGTCCACACCGGTCAGGATGTTCCCACTGTCAACATGGATGACCTTCACAGGCAGGTCACTCATTTGACTTGTCTCATCCAGAGGCTGCAACAGGAGGAGGTGAGCTATGTTTCAGATTCAGCTTCCTTTAATCTGACAGAGCTAGCTAGTGTAACAAAAAGCAATGAGCAAATAACTATTTTAAATTCAATAACTACGGCATAAAGTTGTACTTCTTTTACAAAACCATGTTCTGATCTTCTGGTGATATTTGGTTTGACTCCTTTCAAAAAATGTCTACGTACAGATGAAATTATTCCACAGTTAACAGTAAAGTATTCATAAACAATATTCATTTCAGAATATAGTAAATACAACATATAGTACCTTGTATTTAAAATGAAAAACTTGAGTTTTAATTTTGGTATTAGCATCACGTGTCTAAAATGTTGAAACATGGACCGTGTCTGATTACTTCTACATTTCCATGCACAACATGTAAAAACCGCAAGAAATGAATTAGTTAGCGCTGAGCTGATTCAAAAGAAAAAGCTTTTTTATTATAAATATAGCATGATCTCAAAATGTGACCTCTGAATTCATACAAAAAATTACAATCTGTTACTCTGAAGGCAACATCTGCTCACCTCTCCATCAGGGCCCAAAGCAGGAGTCTGACCCTCTGCATTCTCCAACTGCAACACAAGCAGACCTTTACTAATAAAAAAATAAATAAATAAATAAATAAATAAATAAATAAATAAATAAATAAATAAATAAATAAATAAATAAATAAATAAATAAATAAATAAATAAAAATAAAAACGTCTACAGCAGCTTAAAACACACCAGCCACTGGTGGTCAAACTTTTCAGGAAATGTGCTAAACGATGAAAGAGCAAATGTGTGATGCTCCTTTATTCCACACCTTCTTCTTTTTYTTCTTCTTCTTTTTCTTCTCCTTGAGGGCCTGTGCAGCTTTGTGGGCTCGGACCAGCTCCGTCAGGTTGGCAACGTACTCATCGGTTTGCTGCAGGAGGTAAGCCAGGCGCTTATCCTTCTTCTGGTCGATCAGTTTCCGGTAACCCTCCTCGTCCTCGGCCTGCGAGAACAATCAGACAGGTGCTTCGTATCCCRGTAAATCTGTGATGCCCAAATGACAATGTCCCAGTGTATTCCTTACCATGAGCCTCCTCATTCGTTCCTTCTCAATGCGCTCGTTCTCCTTCTTCTGCTCTCGCTCCGTGTTGGCGTGGTAGGTGGCCACAGCTTTGGTCAGCTTCTGAATTTTCCCCGTGACTGAGCGGTGATACTCCTTGAAGTCTTTGGCATGCTGGAGGATGCTGTTGAGGTACTCCTGGGAGTTGAGGGAACATAAACATGCAAAAAACTTTATTTTTAAGTGATAGTTCTAATTATATTGATGTAAAAAAAGGATTTGTGTCTACAGAGTTTTATGTAGGTAATGAAACAAATTAAAACAAGGGTTAGTTTTAAAAACAAGCCTCTGAGATAAATACTGTGGGCTATGGGGTCCCACAAGGGTCTGTGCTTGGCCCCCTGCTATTCTCTCTCTACCTTCGGCCTTTTGGTCTTCTTTTGCATCATTTTAATGTGGCCTTTCATTGTTATGCTGATGATTTGCAACTGTATATGCCTTTTTCACTTGGAACCTGCACCAATCTTTCTAACCTTACAACCTGCTTAACTAAAACAAGGAAATACCACTCCGGTGCTGTCATCTCTCCACTGGCTGCCCTGCCATGTTCGTGCAGATTTCAAAGTGCTGCTTCTCACCTATAAGGCCTTACATGGCCCAGCACCTCCCTACCTTTCAGACCTTCTCCACCCTTACATTCCATCTCATGCTCTCCGATCTCAGGGCACTGGTCTGTTGGCAATCCCTAAGGTCAGACGTAAAACTATTGAAGGTCGTGCTTTTTTCTTTCGTGCCCCTTTATTGTGGAATGATCTCCCTCAAGACATCAGGCTGGCCTGCTCAGTGGAAGTTTTTAAAGCTAAGTTAAAGACCCACCTGTACACTCTGTCTTATGTGTCTTAAATTTTACATTTGTATTTTATCTTTTTTTGTCCAATGTTTTACTTGTTCTTACAACTTCTTTTATATTGATTTTTACCTTTTATTAACTGTTCAGCACTTTGTTGAGAGAGCTTTATAAATGAAGTTATTATTATTATTACTCTTATTATT